TCGATCCACAATATATGGCTCCGCATTAAACATAGCAGCTGTCAAGGAGGACGAGGGTGTGACCAGAAAACTACTGCAAAAGAACGTCAAAGCCTATCTCTGTGGGAAGGAGTATAACATCTTGCATGTGAGGAGGCCTCTCAGTTTGAAATGAGTAGTTCATAACTAATAAATGAACCTTGTTCTGCAGACGGTATGTGAATTTTCAGTGTTCAGAGGGATCTATAGCTGATCCAGAACTTGTTTTCCCGTTCCAGAAGGCAAGTAGAAGCGCCGGATGATGGCTCCGTATGCTGTCGTGTTACTGACACCAGGGTCTTAGGAACCATAGAAAGTAAGCGAACTGCATTGGGAATGTTGGGAAACCATCATGGCTAACTCAGGATTACCGCTTGAGTGTAGAGTGTAAGTTAACAGATCCAATACCAGTGGATAGGAGAATAAAGTTTGCTGACTTTCGGGGAGATACAGGAGGTAGGGGACCCCATAAATGGCCCGGATGACAAAGGCGACAGCTAATTCCCGAGTTGAGGATACTGTAGCTTGTGCGTAACAGGGTCAACCGAATTAAAGCGACGAGGCAATTGCTGACCCCCGGCTCGCTGAGTGTTGTAGGAGGTAAGTGAACGGGATCAGCCACGGTTCTAAGACGTGGCAATTGCTGAGCTCTAGCTTGCTGAGTGTTGTAGGAGGTAAGTGAACGGGATCAACCACAGCTCTGGGATAAGGCAATTGCTGACCTCCGGCTCGCTGAGTGTTGTAGTTGGTAAGTGAACGGGACCAGCCATGGTCCTGGGGAGAGCCAATTGCTGACCGCCGGCTCGCTGAGTGTTGTAGAAGGTAAGTGAGCGGGATCAACCACGGTTCTGGGATGAGCCAATTGCTGACCTCCGGCTCGCTGAGTGTTGTAGTTGGTAAGTGAACGGGATCAACCACGGTTCTGGGATGAGCCAATTGCTGACCTCCGGCTCGCTGAGTGTTGTAGTGGGTAAGTGAACGGGATCAACCACGGTTCTAGGATGAGCCAATTGCTGACCTCCGGCTCGCTGAGTGTTGTAGTGGGTAAGTGAACGGGATCAACCACGGCTCTGGGATAAGGCAATTGCTGACCTCTAGCTCGCTGAGTGTTGTAGAAGGTAAGTGAGCGGGATCAACCACGATTTTTGTGCGAGACAGCTGCTGATACTTGTTCGGCACCTGCCTTCTTGCTTCCTCCAGGCTGTAAGTGGACCTTCATGCCTGTCATGTGTTGTTCCTACTTTACTGATATATCTCTCCCGTCGTTACAGACTGTATGTAACCGACAACCGTTAAGATTCTCGTTAATGCTACTGATTCCAGACTAATTTCGCTCTTACTTCCAACAACAGAAGGTACACACTATGAATCCCCATACCGTACCTATTCATGCGCTAACCAATTACTATTTGCACATCTTAGTTTGTATGCAAAGTTCCATCCTCTCTTCTGACAGTTTTTACTGATACCTACCTGGCAATACGTTACAGCTCGTTAGTAAAATCACTTTTTCCCTCTTCCTACTTCCCCCACTAACCCGGAGCGCGCCTCACAATCATTTGGGCGCCATAGAAAGTGAGTAATATGATTTGACTACTGCCAACCCCATTCTCATAGGATATCTATTAACCTTTCTCGTAGCATGTGAGTCGTTCTGGCCCACCATCTCCACCCTCCCCACACATCATTTTTGACCCCGCCGTAGTTTTGCATCCAGGACACACTAGATCCGCACACCCCGCCCCCGCAGGGCACGACCTCCTAATGATCAAGCGCCAGTCTAGAGAGCGGTGAGTATCATGTCCTTTCCTCTAGCGGATACTTAAATGTCTTACTAACTGTGTAAAGGACGAGACGTCTATAATGGGTGTTGGTTGGAGGCCCCTCGTTCTTCACTGCGTTTTACTGGCTCGCAGCCATACCGCCTTTCTTTACGCTCCCTACTGCTTTCTATTGTCGAGATTCGTTTTAATAAGGGGTGCACTATCTGTATTAGATGTAGGAATTTGGAGGAGCCGTTTGCAGGTTATTTATGGTGTTTCCGTCCTAGTTGTTTTTTATTATGCACTGCCTTCAAGGAAATCTTGCGATCGTCTGATACCGCCATTACCCCACGTCCTCGACAAAACATTACTCCTCTTCCCTTGCCCGCTGTGATACGAGCAGACCCCCACCGCCCTCCAGAAACGCGGCAACCCCAAAAGGCGAGCGGAACGACGGAAGGAAACTTTACATGCAAAACACCTGAATAAGCAAGAACACCAACTAGGAAGAAAGTTACAGTAAAACAGCGCCCACGCCCGAGGTCTCGAGTAGGGCCTTGCCAGCCCACTTTAATGCACGACTTAACTCTTTCCACGTTGTTCTCGCACGGCAGACATCGCCATGCTTCCATATCAATATTTTACTCTCCATCCCAATCTAGAATAACAATGCCACAAAAATGCCATTCTTTCCATAACATTCTAACCAAAAACAAAACACCCCATGATACAAGTAACATTGGGAGTATTCCGGCCATATCTCAAACTGCCCTCCAAGTGATCCTTACTTACCGAAGATCGAATCCGCAAAAAAAAAAAAAAGGGGGGGGGGGATATATATACATCCTCATTTGTAAAAGTTCTCATATCATACCCTTCAGCGTAAACCCCCCCGGCCCCTGAGAGCGCTCTGCTACCCCTCCAATAATTCAACAAAACAAAATCGTGATGATAGTCCACAAACACTCCCCACGGAGGCATATCTAAAAAACAGGAATCTAGCAGGATGTCCTTATTCTCTTGTTGTCGATTTGTATACCGGTAGTTCTCGAGGCATGATACAAGGGAAGGTTATGAGAACCTCGCGAATGCGGCTGTACAGTATGATACGGGTACAGTACAGCACGGTGGAGCGCCGAAAGGGCTTGTCAATCGTGATACAAAAAGTACTAGCACTGCTCTATCATATTATTATCATACCTGGTTATATTAAACAAGCTCAACTTGCAACAAATACACCCTAGCAACCCTCTAATATTATTCCAAATTTAGTTAAATCCCCCTTCCTAAACTTCCCCTAACTCGTACACTCAGAAAAAGCAATATCGTACAACGCGCTGTAATACCGTAGTTAGCAAGTAGAAGTAGGGTACAAGTACTGCACAAAATTGCCCAAATAAGTTAGAAAGCACCAATGTACTTAAGATAGTACACAGAACTCGACAACCCCAGCCGCGTCCAGCAAAATCCCGCGATTGCAAGATACACACTCCCTCCCTCCCTCCCTCCCTCCTTTCGTCCCGATTTCATACCCTGTACTCAACTCCACTCCACTTAAACATGCACCACAACGTAGCAGCTATCTTACCATGCAGCGGTTGCAGGAGATACGAGTACAGCTGACGTGCTCCATCACCACTTTCATTCTCTCCTCTTTCCCTTTTTTCTCCGCACAGCATGACACCCCTCCCCCCCGTACTCAAATACAGTACAGTGCTATAGCAAGGAGAACCTCAATTGATTAATCGCGGATTGGAATTGATAAGATTTAGGTGGGATATCTCGTGCTGTAATTTACGCTTCCTATGTCCCCATGGCATCCTACGTACAAGCACAGTACAGTACACCCCCGGTCTGTATTCCCTTCCGCCACGGTGCAGAAGAGGGAATCTGCCGCGTCGTGCTCATGGCTTGGGATGCCCTTGTTCGGATTGCTTATATTTAACACGCGGTAAGTTAGTAGAATTGGGCCTGGGGTCTGAGGGATACGTTTTCGAACCAAATATACGGCCACTTATAACATGCTCAGGAATAAAGCCCATGCTCGGAAATCATGTTTCTTTTATCTTTTATTAAAGCTAAAAACCGCGCAAGCCATGTAAATAAGTACGCGTAGCCAACTCTTGCTGTTTAAAAATCACAGCACCAATCCGGAAGCAAATGGTTCGAGCGAGCGTGATATGGCGAACCTAGCCCCGGAGAGAGATATAATAGCAAGCAAGGCATGATATCAACCCAGACTTCCCAAGCCCACCCCCAATCCATCCATCCATCCACCAGTTACCTAGTATCGTACTACAAAAAAAAACCCACAATCTCCTCTACCGCCCTTTTGCCGCCGTCGCATTGCTAGCCTCTAAACAACAACAACAATCCATCCCCAGTCAGCCCTCCATCCCCCTCCCTGCGAGAGAAATCTCAAAAACGTACCTCTTCTCGTAGCATCCTCCAAAAGTGCCGTATCCACCGCTCCAGCCGGTAAGTGCACGTACCTGACGACGCTCCCACGAATAAACACGTTCCGCACGGCGGCCAGGTGCGGGTACTTGGCCTCCTCGAGGACCATGATGTCGTCCAGCTTGATGTTCAGGAACTGGTCGACGGATTTGAGCGTGCCGCGGATGGACAGGTCGTTCTTTAGCTCGATGGTTACTTCGTGGTCTACGAGGGTTTTGAAGAAGCTGTTGGTTGATCGGTTGGTTGGTTGGTTAGTTGATTAGTTGGGGCGTGGGGCAAATGGCAGGAAGAGGGAAAGGAGGGGGGGATATGCCTGAAGAATAGCATATTCGGTCGGGTATCGGTAGTGGTAGTTAGCAGTAGGTGTAATAATCGCTGGCGGAGTTGATTCTAGTTGATCGGTCTTGCTGCGCTGAGCTAGTTCTCATGGAATGTTGTCTAGTGGTAGGGTAACCAGCAATCCCTACCCCCCCCACCAACCTAATCTATGAAGTGATACTCAACAAACGGCAACTTATCGCAGAGCCGCAGCGGGGCCCAAGGAAAAATTAAGCAAAACCGAGTGATCAGGCAAGCGTTCCCCTCAGTTGCGTCGACAGCCTCAACTTAGTCTAACTCAACCTGAGCCGATCTAGAATAGCACAAGGCGCTCCAGTGTTCCCACTTACGAGTCTCATGACAACGTTACAAACCCTCAGCTCACTTCGACCAAATTCGCAAGCTGGCTGGAGGCCTAACTTGATCCCTCCCGCATACACAGAGTAACATTGCATCACGTATATCCACGCTTTCAGACTTTATTTTCATAATATTATCACAACGCAATCAAATTTTGGGTTGGACCAAAGGGAAAAAAAAGGAATAGATAAAAATTTCCCCGATGCAAGTAATTCTCAAAACGACCATCCCAATCATAACGAAAACCGAACCTTTTGTGTGAAGAGAACAAGAAAGAAGGGAAAAGGGAAAAAAAACAGCAACGAAAAAAAGACTCAAGAACCAAACGAATGGAGTGAAATAATAAAGTAGCCTCTGTATCACGCTTCCAAGGAAAGTCGCGGGAAAAATCCCTTTACAATTCCATACCGACAAAGATCCACCGATCGCTTGTTACTTCTTCATCTACTACCGATGAGGTGGTTGACGAAACGCTGGAAAAGCTGCCACTGCGGGCGTTGGTTGAGGAGTAACTTGACGGCGGTGTAGGAGGGAAAACGATTGGGGCCATTGCCTGAGGACTTGGAGTGCTATCCAGCTGTAACCAATGAGAAAGGGTGATGAGCTCGAAACCAACCCATCCAAGATCGCGGATAAGTGAATCTGGGAATGGCGATCAATTAATTAGACAAACACTGATCGACGAACACAAAAGTAAATGAAACATACGAATCCTATCCGTCTTGCGATCCAAGCAAATAACCAGACGATCACAGCTGAAACATTCGCTGGCCAATTCGATAAGAGCGATCAGCCTGTTTCACACCGTTAGGACAAAGCTCCTCAAAGTCCGAAAGCCCGGGGGAAAAAACTCACCCATGCTTCAACTGTGTCCCCTCGACATGCTCAAAGAACAAGAACAAACTCTTCTCAATTCCCTTCTCAGCAACAAACCCTCTAAAGCTTGCACCACCAACATAATCCCACACCTCAATGAACTGCATCTCCTTCGCGTCAACTCCATTGCTGTAATTATTGTTATTTCCGCCGCTATTAACCGAGATCATCGGGACAGGGACACTCTTCGGATTATTCCCTCCACCAAGGAAAATCCGCCTCATGTCTCTACAAAGTAGTCTCTCACACTCCTTTGCGATGATTCTCGATGCCCCCTTACCATGACCAGCGGCGGCGCCATTACGACGACCGCCGTTGGAGTAAGGAGGACTTGTCGGATATCCCGAGGAGACCTCAGGAACGCCACTGCGCCCCTGCAAAAAACAACAAAAAAAACACAATTCAGTGGATGCCAGAGAGAGCAGAGTGATGGGGGAAAAACATACCGTCCGCGCCGGTCGAAGAGTAATGGAACCCTTGAACACCGGTTGAACAAGACTTGGAGGTGGCGTAACAGCTAGCGAGAACCGGGCGAGCAAAGCCCATATGTTGACGGGAATTATTACTGTAATTACTACTGCGATTACTACTTGTCATCGCCATGATCCTTAATATTTCCCAGGTTTCTCTTAGGAATAATAGTTGCGTTGAAAAAGGGGGTGCGAGAGGGGATTGAAGGAAGGGTGGGAGGGTGGAAGGGTGGAAGAGTTGAAAGCGGAGTTGTGAATGTTTGCTTGTCGGAGCGAGCCTTGCCAATCAATGAAGCGCGGGCTGAGTAAGCCAGAAGTGAATGCAGGGAAGAAAGGAGTTGGGGATGGAAGCAAGAGGGAGATAGCGTGTGAGAAAGTGGGCAGCAAAGGAATTTAAGTCGAATGGAAGATGGAAGAAGCTAGCGACCGAAGGCTCGGCTCTTATCAGAAGCACCGGGTTTTAGGATACGTACTGTATCATACTATACACGGTAGCGCCCACAGCATGCAGATATCATAGAAACTCGAGCCACCCTACTTGTATGAGTACCGGTATCATACAATCATACTATCATAACTATAAGAATATTATTACCGGTATACTCGAGCAGAAGGGCCGAATGAAGCAGAAGGCCCGTGGCACCGCATCATTTTGCCCTGCCATATTATCGTCCGCCCAATTTGGACAGCGGAGCTGTCCAAAGCATCTCCCACCCGGTATCATGTTCGAGTAGACCTTCAATACAGACACGATACTCACATCGTACAGGAAATGTTACAAACGAGAGGAAAGCCTCACTGCATGAACGCAGGCGGGGGTCAATTGAAGGCACAGGACAAACACTGATCCAACCAACCGGCCTCGCACCAAAAAAAAGAAAATTTTTTCAATGAATGACGGTGCTTCATATCAACAACTCTTGACTTTCTTTTTCCGTTTTACCATTGCATGGTAAATGATACTATACTACGGTACTCGAGTACGAGTACCGGTACGGTAGTCAACTCTCCCTCATCGAGAAGTTGTGATATTAAGAGCATTAACCCTGCTCCGCTCTGCATTGCTTTGCGTTATGATACTCTGCTTGGTTCATGTTGCCATCCTTCTTGCATGCATAAACCATCCATCCGTCAGCCGTCCACTCATTGCATCTCATTCCATTCACCCAAATATCATCAACACCACCACCACCATACCGCACCAAACAACCGCAATAGACCATCACCATCACAAAATCCCGTTTCCCACATCATGAACTGTTCAAACCCTACCAAGCACCCAATCCCCTCTCTCCATCTCCGGCAAAGCGGAGAAATTAAAACAAAAATACCGGTATCATACCTATATCAAATTCCCGACCAGTGATCCGTAACCCGCATCCAAACACAACCCCACCCCTCCCGCAAGTACCTACCAAAACCAGCCAACCACGTGCTCCCCTCCCCACGAGTGAGCCGCAGGAATTCTTCCCTTCTTTCGCTTCTCCGGTGGGAACGACCAGTTCCTCTCCTGGGGACTCGGTTGAGGATCCAAAGCTGGACCCCACGTGGATACTCGCGAGCACCAGAGAAAAGTCTGGTCACTTTTCAGATCGGGCCAATCGTTCGGGAGCGTTCCAGGATGCCGAGGCCGAGAATTCTGCTCATGGACGAGAGAAGGAAATGGGGGGAAAGGAGGCCCGAATGACGTAATTTGTCTTGTTGCGGGAAGAGTATAGAAAAAGAGCCAGTCAAACCACTTTACCGAGAGTTCAATTTCCTTGTTGATGATCATGATGGTGTCGGAATGGCTGTAGGTGGGGGGACAAGGCCCAGTACGAGTACCGTACTCGAGTGGAGGATTTCTCCCCTGGGGAACGGGGGCCGTACCAAGACTGGACAATTCGGTATGATACTACCGTACTACTCGAGTATAGTAGTCTTGCAAATAAAGCCCGCAGGTACTCACCCTCACGCGGATATACCGCGATAGACGAAGCAAAGTGCCATGCCCACAGCCCACCATCAAATCAGCTTTTCAGACGCCATTCTCTCTGTTGGTATTTACGATATCACTTTTCCCTTCCCCGCAGTTCCGAACTGACGGGTTCCCGCAAGGACCGCAACACAACCCTCCCTACCGGTAATTCACTCCGGAGCCGTAACCCGCCAAAATGAAGGATTACCTACGAGTGCAGCAGTGATAGAGCACAAAAGGCACCACTAGTTCCAGCACAGACATCGAAAGGTGGGTTAGGTCGAGCAAGATATGTATGCTGGACTGGACGTTCATGATAACTCGGATGGGATTCGGGGACAGGGCGTACCAGTGCATTACCGGTAATACGGATAGGCGGTAGGAGGATGACAGGGGGATTGTGCTCGAGTACCGTACTCGAGTACAGTACGAGTACAGCGTGATGGTTGTGATATTTACTTTATTTACAACGATTCAGTCCATCTTCCCTCTAAATGGTAATGATCCCGAATGATCCTTGATGACGATACCTTGTCATGGCACCACGAGCATTTATCTCCGGAAGGGCCTGCAGGCTGGCGGCTGAACTCGCCAAACTTGATTCCCCTTTCCGTTAGCTGCCCCTCCCACCAACCACAACTCGAAATCCAACCAAGCTCATACCAACCAGCCAACCAAGACAACAACAAATGCAACCTCAGCTACCGGTATTCATCTATCTGTACGGGGCTGTCTGAATGTTTCACAGTCCTTGGTAACATAACGCCCGGAGCCTCCCCTCCTCCCCATCTCTGCTTCGCATATATCTTTAGCATATATTCCCCCCCCCTCTTCCTTAGCTCTCCCCTCCACGACAGCGAAAGAAAAACGAGACCCTTACAGTACCGAAAGAAAGAAGGAAGGAAAGAAAAAGGATGGAAAAATCCCTACAATTCCCTTATTACCTCCTCCCCTCCCTCCCCTTCATCTCCCACCTTCTACCTTCCTCCTCCTCGTCCTCCTCCACCCCACGTGGCCACACCCAAACTCTCCAATGTCGCCTCTGCCAAACCCACCTGGCACCCACGACACACATAATAAGCAAAGGCTTTATGGGTCGTCACGGGCGGGCATACCTCCTCAACACCCTGACAACCCCGCACATAACCTACTCGCCACCCACCCCCCGCCCACTAGTTACGGGGATGCACACGGTGTCGGACGTCTCATGCTCGCTATGCGGGACAGTGCTTGGATGGAAGTACCTTGATGCTGAGGACCGGGCACAGAAGTATAAGGTTGGCAAGATGATCCTTGAAAGGAGTAGGGTTGAGAAGGTGAATTGTTGGGATGGGGGGGAGCTTCTGACGGAGAAGGAGGGGGAAGGGGAGGGAGGGATGGAGGTGGAGGTTGATAGTGCTGATGAAGATGAATTGGAGGATTTGTTTCTGGGGGTTTGGACAAAGGAGGGGGCGCTCAAGAGGCGGAAGGCGAAGAGGGAGAGGGCTGAGAGGGAGAGGGAGAGAATTTTGGGAGAGAGGGGGGTGCATGTTTGATCTTCTACAGCCCGGCGGGGTAGAATTTGGGGTGTGTTTACTCGGGGGGTTTCTTAGCACGCTGGAAGGGTTTTATTTATCTATTCCGCCTTTGCTCGAATTTGATGATTTTAATCTTTTAACTATGGCTTTCCGGCAACCCGGAGATTGGCCCGCATTGGCTGATCCTATATACATACACTTCCACCACTTACCTACCACCTGCCTACCTACTCTACCTACCTGCTCTTCCTCATGGCTTTTTACGTTCATATATTTACTTCCTGCACCGTCAGTGTCTTTTTGTTTTACTTTTACCACTGGTATACGTGAGCGCTAATAGTTGATCCATCATGATTATTTGACCCCCACTCACGTATTCGCAAGAACAATAACCTTGCATGGGCGATCATGCTATGGAACTAACCCCCCTCCCCCCACATAACTCACTATATACGTGAACGCAAACTACAGTATTCATTCATCCCACGACCCACACCCACCAACCCAATCAATAATACAGCCGCTCGGAAAAAAACTCTTCATCGCGGAACGGACCTTTCCCATTGCCGGGGATTATGGTGGCCTACGGTAATGCTGGGTGGGTGGGAGTACTCGTACCGGCATTGTGCAATTAAGATCTCCGCGTATGGTGGGGGGGGGGGCATTTCACCGGCAAATCAAATCCAAACCTTCTCCGAAAGACTGTACCACACGTGATGTACACATCTTCTCTTTCTTCCCAACTGTATCAATAAAACACCCTCCGCACGTTTCACACACATGATGCGTTTCCTTCCACTTTTGTACAACAGCGGGTGGATTCGTGTCCGCGTTCTTCTTTTTGTAGTCATGGTCTCCCGGGTTGGGGGGGTAGGGTACTGGTACTCGTCTGTTTTCACTTGTGAGTTGGCTTGTGTATGATACTTGTATGATAGCACAGTATGGCTTGTTCAATAAGGTTTATGGCTGGCCGTGAGGGCCTCTAGTGTACTTGTACTCGCGGCCAAGGTGTGAAACCTTGGGATAACTCTGCATAACGGTATCATACATTCTATGTATAATGTCCATTTCCGACATTGCTTTTATGAATGAATCCTCATGATATCATGGTCTGCACTCCAAGATGGGTTATATATAACCCTACTAACTATCCCTGCGGGACCCGACCATCCGGTAGCACCTTGTAAAGAATGCCCTCTCACTGACGATGCTGTGGTCATCAATCCGTCAGCAAGTTTGTTTACAAAGGATGCACCCCTGGAGAAAGGAAGGAAAAGAAAAAGAAAAAAAAAAAAGGACATACCAAACCCCCAAAAGCCCGATCCCCAACCCCCCGGCGCTCGTCAACATCTTCACAAACCCCCCACCCTCCGAGACAATCCCCCTAGCAAGCACTCCAGCCCCTAGAGCCGTACTCAAAAACACCCAACCGGGTAATAAAGCCTCCTTGAACCCTTCCCCTTCCTTCTCGAACCTGGCAAAATAGCCCCTAACGAACCCCGCGCTCCACAGAATCCTCACGAGCATGTTGACTCCGTTCGCTGCGACCAATCCCCGCGCGCCCCACCCCAGAACCTTCAGGAAAACCCAGCCAACGGCGGCAAAGCCCAGGCTGAAAGCGAACATCCAAGCCGACTGCCCTGCCAGCTCCCGCTCGTTTGCGACGCTCTGCACGAACGCCTCCGTAACGCCGTTGATCGCGAGGAGGGGGATGTAATAGCAGAACGCGGAGAGCGTTTCGCCAGCGTCGCTCGCGGCCGTCCATTGCCGGCTTGCGATCAGTGAGAGCGCGAATGGCGCGAATGGCGCGGCGAGGGAGATGAAGAAGGTGGAGAGGAGGAGGTAGAGCCTTAGGAGTGTTTGGAGGGTTGCTTTTGCGGAGGTTATATCTTCCCTTGAAGGAGTCGCGGTGGAGGAGAGGAGACCCGCGAAGAGGCCGCGGGAGGATTCTTCGATTGGTTGGAAGAGCATGCGTGCTATTAGTGAGCCGTAATTTGAGGATAAGGCGTAGATGCCCTGAACGTGGTTCGTTGTGAAGTAAGTTATTATCAGGGAGTCGCCCTGGGTTAGGAGGTGCTTTAGGGCGGATTGGAGCCACATGCTTGCTGCCAGGGAGGTGAGGGGTTTGTGGAAGTAGGTTAGGTGGTAGCTTGATCTTCCGGACCCAGAGTTAGCAGAGGCCCAAAAGCTGTAGCCCGTGGGTTCTTGAGGATGTGGTTAAAGCTCGGCAAGGCGAGTGACTGGTGGTGAACCTGACCAAGTCCCTCATCAGAAAGATGTATCGAGTTCACCATGTCATCCCTCAAGACCCATCTAATAACGACCGCCTCAAACCAAACCTCTTCTCTGGGCAGCACGAACCCAATTCACCTAATAATTGTCCCCAATATCCAATAAAAGAAAACTCACCTAGGCTCAATCCCCTTCAACCCAACACCCCATCCCTCCGTCCCCCCCTCCCCCAAAAAACACCACATGTAAACCCCCAAAAGTGCAACTGCGTACCCAACCTGCCCAACCGCAAACCCCAAGGGCCCCACTCCCCGCCCCCTCAGCTCCTCCCCAACCACCCCCTTCGCAACCGCAACCGTAACCCCACAGGTCAAAATGCACCTGATTAATGCCGCCGCGCTCTCCGCCGTCGCGCGCGCTTTATACCTCAACCCCAACTGCGCAAGCGCAAAGTATGGCTCCGCCGCCAACTCCACGATGGTCGCGAGAGCGTAGAGACACACGCTCTCATAAAAGAACGGCTGAGAGGCCGTCTCGCTGGATGCAAAGGAATGGGTGTAGAAGAGGGATAGTGTCGCGGCAAAGAGGAGGCCGAGCGGGAGGGTTAGGAGGGAGAGGTTTATGACGGTTTGGTGGTGGGCCGCTGGGGTCCCTTCGATTAGTTTGCTACCAGCCTTGGGGAGCTCGGTGGGGGTAGGGGCGGCGGAGACGGCGGTAGTGGAAGAGGAGGGTTGGCGTTGTAGCGCTGTCCGTAGCGATTCCCGAGAAAAGTATAGAATAGATATCATGAAAAGCTCCAGTTGTACCGAGATACCCAGGAGTGAGGGGGAGAGATACTGTAGTAGGAGTTGGTTCATGAGGAAGGTTAGTAGGCGGGAGGTCACTTGTAGTAAAATTAGGAACTTTACGCCCTCGGCGGACGCGGATAGGAGAGATCGGCGATTCTCCCTCTCATCCCGTGGAGGTGGATGTTTGGGCGGTTTTGAGGGCATTGTTGGGTGGGATTGATGGAATTTGGAGGCAGAAGAAGAATGATTGAATTGGGGGAACGTGTCTACGTTGTGTGCGGCTTAAAACAAGGGATCTAACTGATGATTAAATATCAGACCTAATCGCTTGGTCCGTGCGCCAGGCAATTTCTGGAACGGTACCGGGATGCATGGCCAATACTACACTTCTCACTCGAGCAATGGCGGGCATGGCTTGGTTGGATCTCTGACATTGTCAACTAGCTAGTGCTTAGATTAACTACTACCGTACCCTATGATACTCGCCAGAGCACCGGCACGGTCGAGGAATAGTAAGAATCCTGCGCAAGAAAATTTCGTGGAAAAACAAGCAATCTACCAACTCGATACGAGCAGAATAAGCATTTATTTCAAGGATTACACCTGCCCGCCGTTTTACCCCGGAATGAGCAATCATCCCGCCGATCCCACGAAATACCAAATCAATCCCATCTCCAATTGCCGGCTCTCGATTTATAAAAAGGCGGGAGAAGAAAAGATAGCCACATCCAGAAAGGATATTTATTCCATTTTTTTGTGAAATACTTCCCCAATCCAGAGCCCCAGATGATACACCAAGTGTTTTTTGCTTTTGAGTTCGTGAGAAAAAAAGAGAAAGAAACAAAGATATTGAAAATCCCCCATGCCTGGTTAAACCTTGAAACCACGGCTCCGACGTCTTCCACGAGCACGTTCGAATTTCCTTCCCTTTGATTCGATGTACCTACTCCCCGCCGGGCTTGTCAGCGATTTCCCCTCCTCCTGCAATAATGTGCCGTAAAATATGAAGGATGTGAACATACGGCTTCTTGTGCTTGTGGGGACCCATGCCGAAGTGCTTGACAGCCTCACGAGCATTCTTGGGGCCTCTCAGGAGAAGGGTGTTGCTCCCAGTTGGCGCCCTCAACGCAAGCTGGTCAAGTGTAATGCACTCACCACCTGCGGCCTCGATTCTAGCACGGACAGTTGCAGTGAACCTTAAGGCTGCGACAGAGAGCTTAGGAATCTCCAAGGCACGGTTGTCGTCGGTAACAGTGCCAACGACTACAACAGTTTTATCCTGTTTAGGAGCATGGGGGTTGGCAGCATTCCTGATGATACGGGAAATCGATATGGGAGGGCGATTGATCTTGGACATGAATAGGCGGCGAAGGACAGTCTTGTTGAATGCCGAATCGGTGCGGCCTGAGGTATCCTTTGGTTAGTTGAATATTCTCTCGATGGGGGATTCCAAGAGATTCGAATTGTTGGGCATACGAGACAAGAAGCGATAAAGCTTTACGAGTAGCTTAAGGTAGACATTGTCGGACTTGGGCGCCTGCTTATTGCGGAGCTTCCGTCAGCATGGGCCCCTCTCATCCTCCCAAATTTCTCTCCCCTCTATGACGAAGAAACGAACCTTGCGGTGATGGGTTGGCCGTCTGTGGTCTAGATCGATGCTATATTTCCCTTCGTTAGAATCATCGTTCGTAGAAGTTACTTCAGGAGCAATCAAAGAGTGTATGCTTACCCCATGGTGGTGGTTTTCTCGGAGGGCTGTTGGCGTGCTAGTTAGTTGAAGGAAATTTTCGAGATTGTCAATATTTCACTCGGTTGGAGAAGAGGATTGCGGCGCACAAATTGGTTGTGGGGACTGCTGGTGGGCATCAGTTGTGTGGTAGGGCAAACCCTTATCTAATAAATAATGCCAAGATTTCGATCTCAACACCAACAACACCTAACGCAACTGTTCTGGCGCGACGAGTTATAATTAGTATGATGCTGCGAGTTACAAGTATCATGTCACCAGATATTTGGAGAATGGAAAAAAGTTTTTGAGAATTAGTTGTGGGACAAGAAAACATAAAATTTGCTCATTCAAATTCCGTTTACAGTGTGATATAATTATACAGTACAAGCTACCAGTCCATGCATCGATGGATTATCTCGGAAAAAAAACGGGAAAAAGTCTTCTCCTAGCCAGACTTAAGAATAGAGCTTAATCTGGCCAATCAACTTGTGTGCCTCCAGCGCGAAATTAACGGGGGCCGCATTCAAAACCTGATATCTGACCCTCTGCTGACCCTGAGAGACATCCATCTTCGCACGACATCTAAAGACGTACGCTTTGCAGTTCGCTTGCAAAAACGCATCAGCGAAGGCAGGTCCACCGGACTGATTATTGAGTTCAACAAGCTCATCCGCGGTCATTCCCATGATCATGATTCCAACATCATCGAAGCAACTAAACCAAGCCAAGCCAAAGGCATCACTACAGGAAATCGTCATGATATACCTGGCATATTGTTAATACGCACGGCGATAGAAAGGTTCAAAGGTTCAAAAAGGAAGAATGTTAATTACCTATGCTGACAATTGGGGTGGGTAATGTCACATTTCTCACACTTCCATTGCCCTTCAGCAATTTCGACAACCTTCTTGTTGCATTTTGGGGTTAGGCAAGCAGGGTACGAAAAATTTTCGTTTTTGATATAAACGATTGTCGCTTTGGTAGTGAAGATATCAGGATCTTCTCCCATACCGAGGTTTTCATCGCGGATCTGTGACAAAGTCTTATAAGGGTCATTGGTGCGGACAGCTGATGAGCCGGTATGGTGACTTTGAAACGTCTCTCCGCGTCCCTGTCCGTCATACCAACCGCGAAGCGCGTGAGATTCGTCAATGTCAGGATTGACAGTCATGGTAGAGCTATGTAGCATGCTTAGACTCCGACCACCATACTCGCTAACCTTAACACCCTTGAATGCCACAATCTCATCCAGTTGTGTCTCCCAATCCTCAGCAGATTTACCCCAGGTAGTGATGTGGACAGAATATCCGGACTTGTCGACCAAAGTGACATCCCGCTTCGTGTATGACTTTTGGGTGTTCTTTGACTGAATTGATGCGACCTCACCAACCTCCTTAATGACACCTATAACATCAATGATGCCGTCGTTTTGGATACTCTCCAATTCAGAAAATTGAACAAAATTGAAACGCGCCATGGGAATGCCATCATCTACATCATTACACTAAACCATCATTAGCTAACTGAACGCGTAATTCTCAAACATCGGACACAAACCTTCTCAATCTCAGTGTTACGCTCGAATGCCAATTCGTAATCGTTATTGATATTAGAGAACTGCTTCTTCGCAAAATTGACTTTGCAGTTCGAAATATAATAAACCTGCCCCTCCTGGAGTACTTCATAGAACGAATCCACTTGATCGTTAAATCCAGTGGCACGAACCTCGCCACTCTCGTCTAAAAGAGTGACATTAAATAGCCTCCCGTCACGATTCGAATTTTGCCAGAGCTTAATCGGAGACTTGTATGTGACTCTAGCTCTGATCGTCCATCTGTTCTGGTAAGGCGAGAGACTCTCGATCGGATAGATATTCGGACGCGTAGCGCTTGGAGCCGAAGAACGTGCAGTGGTGGTGGGTTGTGCTTGTCTAGCCGGAACACCTCTCTGTTCAGCTGGAGCAGGCGCGGGTCTATTTCCGTAAAACGATGTAGCAGAAGCCTTTTCATTCTGGGCCGCTCTAGCTCGATCGGGTGCCTGTGGGCGTTGAGATGCTTCTAAAGAAACAGGCTCCCCAATTTTCTCCTGCTTTCCGTACTGGGTGAGGACCTCCAGTCCGATAACGATAAGGATCCTGTCTCAGCGTTAGAAACTTGACAATGTTGCGGCAGGGTTGAGATTAACGCACTTCTTATCCTTGACCTTATTTGCCTGATAGTTTGTCAGCTGGACAAAGCAGCCTTTCTCAATTGATCCATCCAAGACATGAGCGGTTGCCTCTATAGATTCTGTTAGCTCAAAAGTTGACACTAAAGGGAAACACCAAGCACGTACGTGTAGCAAGCATCGACTGGATGAAATTTTGAGTATCTGAGAACACAACCCGGTATCTGAGAACGCGCGAAATCAGCAGAGTTTCAAAACCGTGTCGATAACAAAGAGGACTGACCGTTCCGGGGCGCCAGGTTGAGCGGCAAGAGATTTTATTTGAAGCACTTGGAGAATAGGATTCGGGAAGCTATCGGGTGTGGGAATATCCGCCTCGAAGACCCTTTGCAGAGCACCGGGGGTGCAGGGATTGTTCGCCATTATTTCTAAGATTCCAAGATATCGTGATCGAGTGCGGTTGGTGGAAGACTTGGTCAACACGAGAAAGAGGGGGGAAAGTGTTGGTGTTGAGGAGCAACGTGTAGAGTGGTGGCAATATGATGGCGCGTGTGATAATGATGGTGTTTTGTGACGCATCCTTTTAACTGCCTGTCTTGGCACTAACTTATCCTCTTCCGACATTTACCTTGCTCGAGTATTTCCCACAGGTACAGATTAGGCTACCACCAAGGCCCCGAGTCACCATAACCACAGTAAGAGCCCCGATTATGTCGAGCTGATTTTGTTGGCTACATAATATATTTTATCCGGTTTACAGAAACAGTTTTGCCTCTCAAACTCCACCCCCCCGGATTCACAATCAAATCACCCCCAACGACACCCACCCGACAAAGGATCCCGAAAACATAGACTGAATTAGCTGTTGGGGCCCTTAATTGCATCTCTTGAAGAAGTACACATATCTGTTCAATGTAATTATTAGTGTAGTGGCCTTGGAAAAATAGTACCTTATAGTAACTTACGCAAATTTCTTCATTTCTCCAACATCCGAGGCCTTGACAACCTTCTCGTCGTTGAAGAGAACCCAGACCTTGCCCTCTCCTTCGACATCTTTTCTAATAAACGCAACATAATGTCCGGCATGAATGCTGCCTCCTTTGTGGCATACAATACTATGCAGCTCAAACGGGGCTGGCTTTTCACCTCTTCCAGGCTCTTTTTTCGGGGCGCACGGGTCGACGCTCTCTCCCATTACTTCGTCGTCGCCCATGTCATCAGGGTGTGAAAACAGCCATTCAACCGCTCTCTCTACGTCGCCTCCAGTCTCCTTCAGAGCCTTCTTAGCTTGGCTAGCGGTGAATCCCATAGCTCCCAACATTGATACCTTCTCCTCATCAGGCTCAGTACCCGCTGAGTCCTTTTTCGGTGCAAAAGACATTTGGGCGTCGATATCCGGATCATCCATATGGGCAAAGAGCCAATTCATTGCTGCCTCTGAATCCTTGTTGCCAGTATGATACAGAGCCTTTTCGGCACGCATTCTTGGAAAGCCCATTGCCTCAAGTTGGCCTACAATACCTTCATCTGCTTGGAACCCAGGCTCTTCGTCCTCGGGGAGAAGCTCCTCATCGGCGGAATGAGGCTTTGCCAGGTAGTCATCTAGCAAAAATGGCTCGTCCCCCACAGCGACCGGAACGTCAAGTTTCGTAGGAACCCAGTTAATATATTCAAATCGCCTGGCGTTCACTGCGAGAACCTCTGGGAGAGTCTTAAAAGCATGTCGTCTATATATGTTAGCACCTTCAGCGAAACCAAATGTAACTTTTGAGCATACTTGGTAGCTTTGGCATTTTTTCCGCAAGAAGGGCAATTAAATCCCACAATCTCAACCGCTGTGAATATATCAAGACATTCCTTAATGGTGACTGGCTCGAAAACGTCTTTATTTTTGTCCTTCTCGTTGCCCCCCTCTCTCATTTTGACATCCAATGATTCAGTAGGGATTCTTTTCGCAGGGACGGGGACCGACATGTTGTCCTGGATATCAGTCCTATACCTAACTTTGCCACATCCCATGCACTGAAGCCTCTGCTCGAGGGCGAATCGGAACTCTGACACAGGATCTTCCAAGTCACCAGGATGATGAGAACGGCTGATCAGCTTGAATAGGTGCAAAAGAAGCTCAAAAGCATCTTGCTGACGCATAGTTGAGAACTCTTCATGCCCTTTCCCAATAAGAGCTTTGAACATAGCTGGTGCAAGTCCCCTTTGATGCTGAATCTCAGGAGAATACTCGCTAGCAGCTACATCGGGATCTGGGCGAGAATATCTCCCAGAAAGAAGACCATCGGCAAGCTTCCGAAGCTGCGTCTCCAAGTCATCTGCTGGGGCTAATGATTCTGGTAGATCCGGAAGATTGTATCTATCTCATCACCATCAGTTAAGATGTCCGGGAAAACCCTCCGATTAAGAACTACCTCTTCTCGAAAACTGGTAGCGCAAATAGGCACTGCAAAATACTAGCCAAATAACAAGAATTCCCCAAGTTCTTTAGCCCAGTAAGCCCCTTCCCCATCAATGGCTCGAGCTCTTTTCCATCCTCACTAGTCATTGAAAATTCCCACCTCATATTCTGCTCAATCTGCATCTCCGTAAGGGACTTTTCCGTTTTCTCACGTTCCGCAATGTTTATGCCCCAATAGGCCAAGTGCGCAGCAAGCTCCGTGTCCGTCTTCTCGTCGTCACACGCATAGCAGTACACGTCCGCGGTGCCTTCCGGCGTGATGGAGCCTAACTTGACGGATACAGGATGATGCGTAGCGTCGAAATGAGCGAGCCCATGAGATGACCCGCCTACACCACCAAATTGAGCACGACCACATCCGAGATTCCCGCACTGGAGACAGAGCCAGAGGTTCTCCTGGAGATCGCAAGCTGAGCAAGTAGCAAGGTTTTGAGATTCGAGTTTCCTCGGAACTTCCTGTTGAAGACATAATGTATGCTCGCAAGGCGTCATCTCCTGCTCCCATGCCTGAACTTCTGTCTGTCTGGCAAATGTCATAGCTTTCATCACTCCATCTATCACCTCAGGCAGCTTTATTAGAGCCGTTAGCGGTGACGCCGCTGCAAGGATCGAGGTTGGATGAAAATGGACTTACATTCCCAACCGTCCGCTCAACCTCTTTTCCGCCACACATATAGCATATCACGGCAGTATGGGTATCATACTTATCGTTCTCGCTCTCAGCCTCAATAACCAATTTCGAAATCTTCTTTGGAGGTTCAGCTCGCTGCGAATATCAGCCTTAAGAGACCCCAATCCAGTATTTGGATAGAAAGCTACCTCAGCTCTAGGCTTTTTAGTCCTCCTAATGTTCAAGGTGAGAGGGTGTTGTGACAGCTTATGATGAAGGAGCGCGTGGTTCCTCTCTCCAGCACATCCTCCATTGAAGCAGCTGAGACAGACATTCAGGCCTTCCGGATCGTCCTAGAAACTATTAGTACAAAGAACCCTTCCAAGAACTATATGAACCTACAATTCCGTCAAAACATTGAGTACAATCCTCTCTATGGACTGCCTGGCTCGCTCTTGGTGGGGTAAGGCCTATCAAGGTTAAAATTTCCCCCCTAAAGCTGGACCGATGAACCTACGAGACGCAGAGACGTGTTGGCAGTTCATTTTGCTTTCGGTTGATGAAGATGATGGAGTTGTGATTTCAATGCTTGGGAGACTAGCTAGGGAATGACTCCGGAGGGGATGTGGGGCAGAGAAAGTGAGGCTTAAATTTCGCTTACGTCATAAGCAAGATAAGCTCTTGGATCTTGTTGGAAGCCTAGACTATACTCGTACAGTAAGCTAGCCACATAGAAACAGCTCTTATGACCGTGTTTCATGCACAAACTAGGCTTCGGATTGGTATTTGTATGATAATACTAGCAACCACTACCAAAAACCTTGCCACTATCAAAACTCTTGACGAAGGAAAGCGGAAACAATAACGATAAAAGAAAAGTGATAACAGTAACAGAAACTCGGCTACCCAGCTAATGCTTACCCAGGAACTCTAGGAATTGATCGAAAGCCTGTTTCTGAGCAGTCTTTATGTGCTCCTCAGAATAGCTCCCATAGACAGCAAATCCTAAATCAAATCAGCAACGCCATCCCAACCCCGCTCGAGTGACACATATCATACCATGGGGGACACCGGAGTAAACCCTCAATTCGTGGTCGATATTGTTATCTTGTAGCTGTTTCCTTCCTCCATCTCTGACTTCATCGGGGAAGAACATATCGTTCTCTATGGAACAGCATCCTTAGCTTCATATAACCTCCGGGGCCAAGCAAAGTTATAGCTTACCAACACAAGCCAAAGTGACTGGCTTTTTAACTCCTGCAATATCCTCCTTGCTAATCAGTAGTCCTATGTGCCATGTTTTCAGTGTCCACTCCGTTTCCGTACAACTGGAATCCGGGTTCCAAACCATGCGCAACAGCACCAGCAGCAATCCCATCGGTAGCTGCAAGCCGCAAAACATACTTCGCTCCAAAGCAGTACCCTACCGCTAGTACTCCCATGGAGCCGTCGTAAGCCTTGTCAGCGTATGTCTCCTTGACGGCCTTCAGGACCTTTTCTATTATCGGCATAGTGTTTTCAGGAGTATGGCGAGCAAGCCACATATCTAGCACACATCCTCTCAGCTCTCTATCCTCACACGCAAAGGCGAAATGAAGCAACACACCGATCATAAAACCCTTGATACCCTCCGCGGCTCTAAACTTTATCGTCTCGAGAAGATCCGCATTTTCGGTATGTGCTGTTACTGCAGCGGCATTAGGAGCCGAATCGCCTGGGGCACATCCTCAGCTCTCCTGAACTTCCAAACTCCCCCTATTCGATTTCCTCGAATAGTTAAGCTCACCATTGAACCTAAAGTAACAATTAGCTTAAACCAAATGGTACAAGACACAGCATGCATACAGATCAGGCATAACAACAAAGTATCCCTTCCGAGCAAAATGATCTGCCTGTATCTGGTTTGTCTTCGCCGTGATGCCGGTTCCGCCGGTCAATAGGAGGACCAGCCTAGCGGCGCTGGAAAACACTCCCTCTGGCTTAGAAACATAAACCTACTTGCACAATCAAACAATTAGCTCCCAATCTCCGCCCCCCTTTTCTAAACAAACGCCCAGGGACGTACATCAACATCCGCAAGCTTAGCAATTTCCTACAACGCAAAGAAACCTTAGTTGACTAACAAACCCAATGAACGAAACGAACAAAAGCCATAAGTTAGGTAGAGCATACACCAGCAGCAACCTCCGAAATATCTATGAGCACAGTTCACAAGCATTAGCCAAGCTCCACAAATGCACATCGTACGTTACACTAACCGAGTGGAGCATCGTTCGTGCAATGGTCGCTCATACGAGGCTGCGGGGCTTTAACCTGAGCTTCGACCGATGCCTCAACGGTAGGAGCCGGGGGCGCTTTTGAGGGGGCTTCATCCATCATTTTTTTGCGTTCGGTTTCCTTTTGTGTGAAATAGTGCCGTACTATAGAAAGGTATGACTTTTTGAGGTTGCGAATGAGGCGGGGTTTGGTTGGCTTAGGGGCAGGATGATTAAGCCAATGGCGGAATGATACCAGCAGTGTGAGAGTCTAGGAGTGTAAGAGCGGAATGCCACTTGGGGTAAAGTCAAGATTGCGTGAGTAGATTGAGGCAGACTGGACGAACGAACGGGCAAGGTCTTGCGCTCTCAGCGCCCAGCGAGCAGGGTCAATCTCTGAAGAACACTCATGTTATATCACTCGGAACCAGGGTGCTGACAGCGTATTGCATTACAGTATCATAGCAGCACAGCATAAGTTACAGATCATTCCAGTAAAATCTTGTGAAACCGTAATTTCTTTGCTACCAGAGCTTTGTACTAACACATCATCCAATGAACGGTACAAATACACGATTAAAAGATGCGGCACAACTCATATTTTAAAGATTTAATTACAAAGTAACAGCAAACTTTTAGTCCCAACACCAAGTAATTTTATTACAACCCCATCTAGGCTGATAATATATTGTACATCTGTGTAGTAAACCCCAAACAAAGCATTAAAAATGTGAGTATGAACTCGACCAACACAAATCATTACGAAGGGGGGGGAAATCCTTGGGTTTCTCAAACCTACTTGGCTCATATGAGCTTGCAAGTTGTCGTCCTCACTGCTATTGATTCTTGCTCTATGGTGATGCACAAGCCAACAAACGACCGATTTTTTCCCGCTCGACGAAGACTGTTTATTGGACACGGTATCGATAGACGTACAGTTGGATGGAGTGATGGATGGTAAAAACGTAAGGAAATGTGCAATTTAAGGTAGATGCATGAATGGATCTGTGGATAGAGGCTCTCGTTTTTGCTTCGTTCGACCCGACCGACGATCGACCGATTGTCCCGCTCGTTCGTTCGTTCGCTCGAACTGCCATCGGGTAAACGTAACAAACTTAAAAGCAGCGAAAGTTTACTAAAAACAAGAGAATACCGAAACAGAAAGAGAAGAAAAAAATGATTTAGAGGGAATTTAGGAAGGAGATAAAGAAAAAACACCGGGCCAACTTCCGCATCCACCGCTATCAGGAAGTGAGATGCACAACAAATTCAAAACACTTTTTTTTGAAACAAACCGGAAATCGATAGGGGAAACAAGGTATTAACTACCGAATCACTGGATGATGAATTTTTTTGTTGAATTCCCATGAAATGTTTTCTGTAGCCGACCGGACAAGAAAATCAAAAGAGCCGATGAAAAAGTAGCAAAGACTTAGCAATTCAAGACAAAGGAGATCACCATTCGGCGCAAGTACGCCATTCATTAGTCTGCAAGATCAGCAGTGTCAAGATCGTCGTGGAGAGGAGAGTCTGAAGTAATTAGGTAAGGCCCCGCAAGCTAAATATGGAAGACGTTACCTTTGCGATGGTGAGCATCGTCCCCGTTGGCTGCAAGAGGGCTTCTCTCCCTATCGTCGTCAGGTCTACGAACATCGTCATCACCCTTTCTTCCTGGGCTTCTGGATCTAGCATCACGTTCACCACGGCGCTCACTACGACGAGGAGAGTCACGGCCACGAGAAACAGAGCGCCCACGGCGAGGGGAGCCACCACGACGAGCACCTCCACGAGGAGCATCGCGGCCACCATCAAAGCGCCAGCTAGCAGAAGGAGGGGTACGGGCCCACTGGAAGGAACCAAAGTTAGCCTATAAAACGCGGTAATAATGATAGACTTCGCATACCTCAATCTTCAACAAATCATCACGGCCAATACGACGACCATGCATCTCGTAATAGGCATCGTCAGCATCACGTCGGCTCTCGTACTCGACGAAAGCAAACCTGGCCGTCGAGGTGCTGTCAGCCACCCATAAAAAATTAAAAAAGCGGCTTCAAATGGTCGTCCACCGGGGAAGGTGGGGGATCGGTAACCTACAATCTCGAGGAAGCAGTTCTGGGAGCTGGAATGTCACAGCGGACAAGACGCCCATACCTGTTGAGTCGAAGGCCGAGAACGTTAGACTGAATTGGACAATGACGAGAATGAACCACGACGACGACGAGCAGGAGAGCGACGAATACGATAACGGTTTTTTAACGGATGGAGGATGAGAATGATGTAAAAGAAGGGTATAGTGTGCGCGTATAGCCTGCCGCTCGCGATAGGCGGCGACTATAACGATGTTATCGGTTCGACGGCGAGACGAACGAAGGGAAAGTACAGTTCGGGGTTGACAGGAGGGATATTCGAGCGGGAAGTAGCAGTAGTAGCAGTGATAATACACGAGGGGGACAATCGGTCGAACGAGAGAAGAGAGTAATTTCAAGATAATGTGTTGGACGGGTTTTAGTACCTCTCGAACTCGTAAGCAAGGTCTCTGGCGCGAGTACCAGAAGAAAACCCAGTAACGTAAAGAGTGGTGCCTCCTCTTCCAGACATTTCTGCTAGTGAGTGTTTTGGTGAAGAAAAAGTTAGATCTGATGTTTGTTATGAGTGTCAACTGCAGAAGCCCTTGTATGAAGAAAGAAGGTTGGGGAAGAAAAAATGAGAAGGGTGGAGAAGGCAGGCCGAAGAGATCTTCGAGGGTGGGTTGATGATGATTTAGGGTGAAGGTTATGATGGAGAAAGAGAGAGAAAGAAGAGGAAGGAGAGGCGATGGAAGTTGGAAGAGCTGGTCTCTTGGTTTTGGGCTAGGTAAACCTGGGTGGCTGGCGCTTGATGACAATGAGATTGTTAGAGCTGTTCAGTCATGTGACACGATCCACTAGGAGCTCTTTCTCCCCTCTACGAGTAGACTTCCGGAAAGTTCCTTGAGTAAGAACAAACAACAAAGCAACTCTAATTACGAAAACTATCACCGGCTCACAACGGGGTCCTTGCAAAGATCGAACCTTGTATCTTTCGCGGATCCATAAAATCTGCCAGCGAATCCCATTACCGTACCGTCTCAAGCTCTCCCAGCACAATAGCTTCCGATATAAAAAATTGACAAACCAAACCCCAAGCACACCCCCTGCCCTCCACACACTCATGCCAATGACAGCACCACCCCACTGCGGCCCAGTAGAGAACCCACTTCCCTGTCATTTTCCAAGTTTCTAGTCCACAATCGGCCAACCATTTCCTTGAAGGACGCCCTCTACAAGTACACTGGGTCATCAAGACCCCCCAGACCCACTAGAACATTTCTCGATTACTCTACTAGCCATAGAAGAAGGGGAAGAAAGAAGAAGAAAGAAGAAAAGGCTCCATTGGGTTGTAAAATTAAAAAACCGAATTTATGCAACACTAAGCCACGCCGAAATTACATATCATCCTCAAAGTCCTGCATAATTGTCTCCTCAGGTTCGTCCTCGGCCCAGCTAAAGCCGTAATCAAAGTCCATCAAATCTGGCTCTGCCATACCGGCTAGAACACTGCTTCCAGACATTTTCGCCATCTTGACCATGTATTGGATGAATTCTCTGCTCATCCCGTACTTTTTATTGATCGTCTTCATCTGCTTGTTCAGAGTCATGATGCGGCGTAGTTCCACTTGAAGGGCAGCGAGATTGCAACTTTCGTCCACAGGGTGATTATGAAAGTGAACTGTTGTTTGGGATTGCTCCGGGTTAGGGTGCGAGTGCGAAAGGGACGCACTTATTTCCTCACGTTCAATCTAATGTTGTTAGCCCACCACCCACGGGGTTCATGACTCTTGATATGGAAAGACAAACCATTCCCAGAATTACGGCTTCAGTACCCTCCTTCCCGCCCATGTCACCACCACGGCCAGTTACCTCCAAATCTTTCTTGGATATTTCCTCCGTACTTAAGGTAACATAAGTGTCCCTGAGCGCAATTATTTGCATCCGTCTAAACGCCTCAAGGCACTGAATAGCCAGCCCAGTATTGTTGTCCTGTCTAAAGACATCAACCAGCTGGGTAACCTCTGTGCGGAGCAACTCTGGGTTTCCAGCCTTGAAGGCTACGACAAACGATTCATAGGGCTTGCTTAATGCTTTGTAAGCTCGGTTCGCTACTGAGGTGGTAGATCTGGGTATTGGCAGTGACTAGGTCCATTAGCCTTAATATAACAAACAACGTCGATAATAGTTTACCTTTCCATCAAGAAGAAGCCCGACAAGTATGTATTTCTTGTATGCGTCTATTTGAATTTGTGAACATGCACTGCCGGGAGCAACTATAGCCTTCAATCCCTTAATTAACATCCACAAAAATAATAACAGAGGAGAACAAACATATGTGAGATAATCCGCCGCCCTTCTCCATTCCTTGATCCCCATGTAAATCATTCCAGCATACAGGAAGTATGTCAGAACATCTTGGTATGTAACCTCCCCAGCCCTTGCATTTTCCACCACCTTGCCAGTACTCGCACAAGGAAACTCGACGATATCAATATCAACAATTGCTGCCGCATCACGATAGCATTTGGCCTCCAAACACAAGCGAAGGAAGAGAGGATGCAGGAAGGAAAACTTTGCGGGATTAAATCGTAGAATCGCTTTCTTTATGGGGCGGACGGCAATGATAGGCTAGAAACCACTTACGTTAGTAAAGGAAGTGTATAAAACCCACAAATGCTAGAGCCAGGCACCAACTTTACCACTCTCCGTAGCAAAGGAGAAAAAATATTCCACCAGTCGTCTAAAGATATCTTGTGCGCACCGGACTTGCTTCGGATTGAAAGTCTCGAGAAATGTGACAACCTGTCTCCACACAACTTCCATGGCATCCTTCTGACCGAGATCTATACGGGCAACCCTATAAAATCCACCGATCAGCAAAAAGGTATTAACCCAAATCAGCTTTCCCAAACGCACAATACATAGAGGTATGCAAGGCTATTGACCGAAGGATCCAACAAAGCCAACACATCAGTTCCGGCGTGTTGATACGCAAGCGTAGCAGCGGGGGCCCTATTCAGCAACGAGAGGTGATTCTGGATCTGCTTCTGGAGCTCGGACTCCGAAATGTTTGGTGAAGACGGAAAGCTTAGAAAACTGTCGATAAGTTTATCCATAACGAATAAGGAACAGTTTCGCTCTCAGGAATTACTTGATAGGAAAGGGAAGGGGCAAGTTGGCGCCGGGCGTTGTTTATTGAGAACTGGGGTTCAATAAATCTGTAGACGTGGGGCAATCAATAAAGGTGTGCGAGGTGGGCTGCCTGCAGAAGAGCTCGGGCAGGGCCAAGAATAGATGAGTCATCAAACCACCCCGCGGATTCAACCCTGTCAGAAATTGATCTTAGTCCAATTTAAAGGTAATAAATTTAAGGCAAAGAAATAGGAACATTGAGGCGCGAACGGTGGCGAGTGGCACGGATAAACGGGGGGTGGGCAGGAGTTTGGGCCAATCAGGAATTCTTTCTTGGCCAATAAAGGGAAAACCAGTGTGTTCCTATTTTGCCTGTAACCTGCAAAACCCTCGCCCAGCATATATCCTATCATACCATCAAAAAATCGAACACTTGGCACAGAATCACCTTGCCTTTGGCCCCGCCACAAAGCTGCAAAGGGAACCCCCCCCCCCAAAAAAAAAGGGAAATAAATGCCGCCAGTTATCCCCTTTTAAACTTTTTACATTGAGAAAAGATTTTTGTGTGACACCGGTAGTCGTTCTTGCCTATTTTGAGAGGGTTGTTGCGCCGAGAATCCCAAGTGATCACATATCAACTGTACCTGAAACATTTTTTCATGATCGACGGCCGTTCAGCGAGTGATACTGTAATTGCAACCCCTCGAACTTTTCTACTATATTTCCCATCCGCAATTGAGGCAGAAACAGCAATTCTCAACAAAAAAAATCCAAAAAATTATGGCTACAACTGCAGCTGCTCCAGCGGAGATTGCCCATACTTCTTCTCTGGCATCAAGGGTGCTTAAGGTAGTCTCGGGCTCAGACAGGAGCGCAGCGCTCACAGCGGTCTATGAACATCTTCAAGCGGCCAAGGACGAGATCCTCGAAGCCAACAAGAGAGACCTCGAAGCCGCTGAAGAGCAGGCCAAAGCTGGGAAATTGAGCTTGAGCCTTATCAAGAGACTCGACCTATGCAGGTCTGGAAAGTGGGAAGACATGGTGCAAGGGATTCTAGATGTGAGGGAATTGGAAGACCCTGGTGGGCAATGACTCCTCCCCATAATCGATATTTAAAAAGAGAGAAGACATTGTCTATTAATACAATCATGCCGTGAGCACCCCAGTTGGCAAAATAACCCTCGCTACAAAACTCGACCAAAACCTCGACCTATATAGACTAACCTCGCCTATCGGCGTCCTCCTGGTAATATTCGAAGCACGGCCAGAGGTAATAGCAAACATCACAGCCCTAGCTCTCAAAAGCGGTAACGCCGTGATCCTAAAAGGCGGCAAAGAAAGCACCCACTCCTTCGCTGCCATCGCAGGTGTAATCTCCACCGCTCTCTCCACAACCTCCATCCCACCGGGGGCCGTCCAGTTAGTGCTTAGTCGCGAGGACGTAAACGCGCTGTTGGACCAGGACCAGTACATCGACCTGGTCATCCCACGAGGCGGGAACGAGCTAGTACGGTACATCAAAGACCACACAAAAATCCCGGTTATGGGACACGCGGATGGCCTCTGCACGATATACGTGCATGCAGACGCGGACGAGACCAAAGCCGTGAAGGTTGTTCTCGACGCGAAGACAGATTACCCAGCTGCGTGCAATGCCGTTGAGACGCTGCTGGTACACCAATCCATCTGCTCCACCATTCTCCCGAAAATTGCCGCGATGCTGTTGGCCGCAGGAGTGTCTCTTCGCTGCGACACCTCGTCCAGGGCAGTCCTCGAGGCCTCGTCGCTTCCGCCTTCTTCGAAGGCTATCATCCAGGATGCGACGGCGGCGGACTACGATACGGAGTTCTTAGAGTTGACGCTTGCTGTGAAGGTCGTGTTGTCAGTTGAGGAGGCGGTTGGGCACATCAACGCTCATGGGTCCGGGCATACCGACACTATCATCTCGGAGGATGAGGAAATTGCGGAGAAGTTCATGGCGGGGGTAGACTCTGCGGGTGTATTCTGGAACGCGAGTACTCGCTTCGCCGACGGTTTCAGGTACGGATTTGGCACTGAAGTTGGGATCTCAACGAATAAGATACATGCCCGGGGACCCGTGGGATTGGAAGGGTTGATGATTTATAAGTACCAGTTGAGAGGTAACGGGCAAGGTGCTGGAGAATATGGCAGTGGAAGGAAGCCTTTCTTGCACCAAAAGATAGAATACTAAGGGGGGGGGAGCTCCATACCAGCAGCCCGGTAATTCTTCAATACGCTTCTTCACACTATTACTTAGTGATTGCTGTTCATGCGATACGTTACATATTGTGAGCAT